CCATAAATTGAGCATCCCTCAGTGAGACAAATGACATTTGAGAAATGTATGCATACATGATATTTTTCCTATCAGAGAGCTAGACAAAAAAAGGAGTAGTGGGGCTATATAGAATAGAATGGAATGGAATGGAGCAGAAGAGAAGAAGAGAAGAGAAGAGGAGAGGAGAGGAGAGGAGAGGAGAGGAGAGGAGAGGAGAGGAGAGGAGAGGAGAAGAGAATATGGAATGGTATGGTGTATGGTATGGAATGGAATGGAATAGAATAGAATAGAATAGAATAGAATAGAATAGAATAGAATAGAATAGAATAGAATAGAAATAAGAGGAATGGAATAAGAGGAATAGAATAGAATAGAATAGAATAGAATAGAATAGAATAGAATAGAATAGAATAGAATAGAATAGAATAGAAATAAGAGGAATGGAATAAGAGGAATAGAATAGAATAGAATAGAATAGAATAGAATAGAATAGAATAGAATAGAATAGAATAGAATATTTTCCCATAAATAAGACCAGGTTTTACATTAATTTTTGCTCCAAAAGATGCATTAGAGCTTATTTTCCAGGTAAGTCTTATTTTGGGGGAAATACTGTACTAAATGTGTCCGTCTGGCTGACGATCTTAACTGGGGCTTATTTTGGGGGTAGGGCTTATATTATGAGCATCCTGAAAAATCATGCTAGGGCTTATTTTCCGGTTGGGTCTTATTTTGGGGGAAATGCAGTAGAGTAGAACAGAACAGAACAGAACAGAACAGAACAGAACAGAACAGAACAGAACAGAATAGAATAGAATAGAATAGAATAGAATAGAATAGAATAGAATAGAATTCTTTATTGGCCAAGTGTGATCGGCTACACAAGGAATTTGTCTCTGCTGCAGAAGCTCTCAGTGTACCTATAAACAGCAAGCAATAAGCGTAGGCTCTTGATGTCTACCCTGTATTAACTTGTGTGGGTTTTGGCTTTTCAGGTATGAAGGGACCTACTGGACCTTTGGGACCTGCTGGCCCTGAAGGAGACCCTGGACCCTTTGGCTCCCCAGGTAGGAATTCTGAGATTAATATTAAAGAAAATGAATTCCATTGTTGCTTTCTAAAATATATTCCCATTGTTTCCTTAAAAAACAAAACAAAACACCAAGGTAACATAAAATGGTTTCACGGCATAGAAAAATGGCCACATGCCATACCTGAATCGAGTGGATTCAGCAGTTCTGGAGGAAAGATTTAATAAGATGGGCAGGCAAATCAAGACTCTGCCCTTGTGGATCCAGGGAATTTGAGTGAGTCTAACCTGTCATTTTGAGAGGCTGCGGGAAGAGAGCCGCATTATTTTAGGTAGCCAAAAAAAAGTCAGCCTGGGAGCACCTTTAGGTCTATCCACTTTTTATTTGAAGGTTTGGTGAGCTACAGATTAGTACTTCATCTGAGGCAATGAGCGGCTTGACTAATGTGAGATTTAAATCCATGGGGATGAGTCTTCTCATGATCACCAGTTGTGCCTTGATGAGGTACGTCAGTGGTTCTCAACTGTTTCTTCACCATGGACCCCCTTTAAATTCCTTTTTGTGGCCACGGACTATGGCCATGGACCCGCAAGACTTAACTCAAGATTTAAATCATAATATGTCTTCAAGCCTTCACCGACCCCCTGTGACATCACGGACCCCCAGGGGTCCACGGACCACAGGTTGGGAACCACTGACGTAGGTCATTTAGTCCAACCTGTTCCTTTGATGTGGGGGAACTATAGTAATAGCAATAGCACTTAGACTTATATACCGCTTCACAGTGCTTTGCAGCCCTCTCTATGTGGTGTACAGAGTCAGCCTTTTGCCCCCAGCAATCTGGGTCCTCATTTTACTGACCTCGGAAGGATGGAAGGCTGAGTCAACCTTGAGCCAATGAGAATTGAGCTGCTGGCAGCTGGCAGACAGCAGAATTATCCTGCAATACTACATTCATACACTGCGCCACCAGGGCTCTAATACATGATCAGCAAACAATATCTGGGGTCTTATTGGAGGCCATTATTCCACAGAAGAATTGGCAACCTTCTTCCAGTATTGAAGGGCATGTTCTTGAAGAGATCGTCTCCTGAAGTGGGACATTGGGTGACCAGCAG